ACTTCTCGATCGGATCGAATTCTTTTTCTCTTTCTCTCTCTCTCTCTCCCCCGACCAGATCCTGGACGTGTCGGTGAACAGGGTACGAGTGTTGACGAACGACAGCCTGGCCCCGTACACGAACCTCGCCTACCTTTACCTGAGGGACAATTTTATCCAGGAAATTCAAGAGGCGGCTTTCGACAACCTCCGATACCTGAAGATGCTCGACCTCTCGACGAACGGGTGCGACACCTTGCCCAAAAGTCTCTTCCGTTTACCGTATCTTCAAAATTTGTATCTATCGAAGAACAGATTGGGCGACGAGCTGTTCGAACGAGTGGATGTTAAATCCCCTTTAATTCTGCTTCAATTGTCGAAGAACAGATTGGGTAGGATACCGTCGTTGGGCCCGATACCAACCCTCACCTATTTGAACGTCTCCGAGAACAACATCGGTTCCGTTTCGCCGGAGGATCTGGCCCCTTTCTGCTCCCTGAAGAAACTCGATCTGTCCAAGAATCCGATCAAGTTCGACGCGGGCAGCTGCGAGTGCCACACGTTCNACGCGTGGCTGCACGCGCGTGAAATCGTCTCGAGGCCGGTGTACAATTGCAGCGAGGAGCGGGCGAAGGGGGAGTGCGCGAGGCAAGAGTTCACGAACCGAACGATGGAATTGCACGAAAGGTGCACGGAAATCCTGCGGTTGCAGGTCGAGACGGAGAAGGCGAGGAACACGTGGATATTGATCGCCTGTTGCATATCCGGCTTCCTGTTCTGCCTGTTCGTAGGCCTGTTCTGCGTGCACAAGAAAAACAAACGGAGGAGGAAGAAGCTGAAGGAGGAGCAGAAATTGAACGCGAACAACGCCAACACCGAGTTGCTCAACAGCAATTTGAACCAGCCCGAGAATACTTGAAATCCGGGCGGAACGTCCGGTGATTCTGTCAGAACGGAGATACCTACCGGCGACCCGACGATTTCGACTATTGTGTTCAATCCACGAGGAATGGAGTGAAAACGTGTGCGACGAACGCTTGAGAAACGGGGATTCTACTTCGTCCGATTTTTAAAGAAAACTGATCCTTTTATTCTCATCCGTGATGCACCATCGATGATTCTGTAATAGGCGTAAAATGTAAGAACGAGAGAGAAACGCGATGAATTCTCAATCTTTGTGGAAACCGATACAAAAAATTTCATTCCGCGCGATTTGATAAGAAAATTCGTTCGAAAAATATTGTATCGTACGAATATTAGGTTGATACAGAGTCGATTGAGACATACGCGAATTTCTAATATTATCACTTTTCTGAAACTCGAAGGCCTTGTTTGTACGAATTTAATAAAGAAACATGCAGAGAGATTTGAAACTGGTGGAGTAATAAGAATCATAAGAAAAGCAGTTTACGATATCCTTATTAGCTCGTTGACATCTGTTAAATTGTTAAATTATATATTGTAAAGAATTTAGAAGAGAACATTTTTGAAATTTTGTGAATCGGAGAGTGAGATAAGAAAACAAAATGATAAAATAAAATTAAATAAATATCTGTGTTCTA